TGCTGCTGTTGCTGCTGCTGTTGTTGCTGTTGTTGTTGTTGTTGCTGATGTTGTTGCTGAAGTTGTTGATTTTGGTGATGCTGATGTGACTGCTGCTGTTGATGATGCGCTGGCGATGATGGACTAGGCAGGGGATATGGCGGAGGGGGACCAGTTGGCTGGGAATGGGATTGTGAAATGGATTGTGAGACATTTTGTGAGAGAGTCTGGGAGTGTGCTTGGCTGGTTGAGATGTGATAGGCTGGTGGCGGCCCACTTGGACTTGATGAAGTTGTATTAGTAACATATCCACTGCCCGCACTACTCTCCAAGCTCATGTCCATTCTCGTCTGAAATAAACATTTGAACGCCTTAAGACTTATAAAAATATAATCTTAAATAATTAATCATTCTTAAATCATCTTAAATCATTCATCATTAATCTCAATCAAGACACACATAATATTTCAATGTACAAAAGCCTTTTTCTTTGCACTTGCTCACCTGTTGCTGAAGATTGCCATTCCCACTTGATGCATAGCTACTACTTGAACCTGGTGAATTGTCAATCTGAAAAATAAAGACATATAAAACTGGCACTTAAAAAAAAAAAAGACTACTTTTTCTCATAGCTACTTTTTTCTGTGACATTCCTGTCACATATTAGTCACCAAACAAGAAAATATTAACAGGAGAACTATCTTCTGATTCTGATCATTCTTGGCTTCTTTTTTCACAAACCTTTAACTACATGGGAACCTTAATAACTTAATAACCGAAATTATTAATGACCCAACCTAACCAAACACACCCATCAAACCTAAAATTTCTCATTCCTGGATTGCATTAGTCCTGTACGTGCTACTCTGGTTGTGGGTGACCTCCTGCCTAAAGCCAGAGTACCAGCTTGGAGGGGTTGTTGGTTCAAGGAAACTTTTATTTATATGTATACTTGGTAGAAAAACCCAATATGTAAAAAACAGATTTATTGAAAATGAGACTCCAGTTTCGAAATCCACCAAACCTGAAGATGAAATCCAGGTGGATTTCAAAACTGTAGTCTTATTTTCAATAAATCAAGTTTTTGCATTGTGTTTTTTTTCTACCATAGTATCTACACGAAAGAGTGTTTTACCATTCAAATGTATACTTATTCAAGCTCTTCCCCTTTGGGATATTGGGCCTGTGAAACCCTCTGGATTCATTGTGAATCCTGATGCTTTTTTCGGGGATTTCATATCTAAAAAACTCAAATTCAAATTGACTACATAATGCTTCATTGACAAGATGAGGCTTTATTTGCCTTGGATCCCCCTTCTGAAGCCACTGTGCACTGTGAACATGAATCACAAAAATTCACAAGTTGCTTTTGGGTATCAAGAATTGTCCAACACCTATGTCCACATTGAGCTTTGAACATGGTAAGATGAACATTATAAATGGCTTGTTGAAATGCAAAGTAATTTATGATTTGCTATGAGTATAATAAATATTTCATTATTTTCAATTTGTGATAGAAATAAACAAACATCAAATAACTATAGCTTTACATGTTATGCTAAAAGACTGCCTATTTCAAGAAAATTAAAAAATAATGTCTAAATATTTCCCCTGATTTTCCTATTTCATATCTTCAATCTCAAAGTAATATAAGAAAAAATACTGAAGCACTATTTCTGGAAAAAAAAAATATATATATTTTCCTGTACTCCAACTGATTTCTGTTTTAACAAATCCAAGGGATCATTTTAAAAATCCCATCATCAGTAAAGATCTGTTTCTCCTTTACTCCTTTAATCCAAATACAATATACTATTTTCTTGCTTTAATCTCTATGTCAAAAGGCCAAGTATTCATGGAACAAAGTTACTGATCTATAATAAAAAAAATCTCAATTAGTGCAAATAACTTTTTCATAATTTATCTGTAAAACTGATGTTTAATTATACTTTTCTGCAAAGCATTCTTGAATTCTTCAGAATGGATTAGATTCAAAGAGACCAAACAAGTGAAGCTGGGATGAAGAAGGAAAATACGACTTCAACCAATAATCCCCTTGCACACCATTCATTATCATCACTTTGCAATGATGCCAAGTTATATCTTATATCATCCAATTATGTGATTACAATAATCTATCTTTTCATCTACAATTCTGTACCTAATTACAACCTGAATTGAACAACTTGCCTAATGAATAGTCTTTCATTATTCCATTACAAGCTTACAAATAAATGAATCAAACATACATGACCTAAGCAATTCCTTCACTACAAAAAAAAAAAACAAAAAAACATAAACATAAAAACATAAAAACACTTACCATATTACACTGCTCAAATTGCTGGTTGAGCTGATTGGTTTGTGCGTGTGTTTGTGTATTATACTCGTAACTGAATGGGGTTTTTGAGAGGGTAACCCCAGGGGAAGAGACAGGTGAAGCCTGGGGGGCACTGGGGGACGGGGGTGCACTCCTCGAGTCACTTGGGCTGTTGCTGCTATAGCTTCCTAACCCGCCAGTCTGTCAAGTAGGCCATTATTTATTGAAAAGACAAATTTGAACAATAATAATAAGAGTATGTAATTAATAAGGACTTATTTTTTTAACAACTGCAAGAATTTCCCAAATAAAAGTAGTAATAATAATAATGATGATGATGATGAATAATGATGGAGATGAGGATGAAGATGATGATGATGAAGATGACGTAATAATAATATTAATAACAATAGCAATAATAAAAATAACAATGATAATAGTTACAATAATAATAATAACAATATTAATAATGATAATAATAATAATAATAATAATAATAATAATAATAATAATAATAATAATGATAATAATGATAATAATAATGATAACAATAATGGTAATAATAATAATAATAATAATAATAATAATAATAATAACAACAATAATAACACTATCAACAGTAACAGAAAAAAAATAATAACACAAACAACAACAACAATAATAATAATAACAAAATAATATTAATAATGATATCATTAATGATAATAAAAATAACAATAAAAGAATAGCATCAATAACAATAATAATAAAACTAACACTAATTCTATTAATGGTAACGATAATGATTATTGATATTAATGATAATAATAATGATGATGATGATGATGATGATGATAATAACAAAGTCTATGTGCGAGTACACTAAAGAAGAAATGAATATAAATACTTCTTTGTGTGCAGACCAGCTGATGTGCATGTCATATTTTGTGTGAATTCACATTGCATTCTATTTTACCTTCTATCACTATGACTATTTCTATTACCATAAAAAAAACTTTACTAACAATCTTGAGATAATCTGATTAATTTTATCACAAATATGATTATCAGTACCATCTCCATAATAAAAATTATTCCTATTATCCTTTCTATCCTTGCAACATTGCTACTATTATTATCATTATTAATACTTTTACATTTACTATTTTATTATTATCAATATTAACCCCTTGGATCTTAGTGCTTCACTGCCCACACAGAGGCATTAGGCTTGAGTGTCCACTTTGACAAGTGTGTGGCTTGTAACTCTGGTGAGTTTGAATGTTGACAAGACTCCATTCCTTTGCAATGTTATCCTTTCCTTTTCTGCATAAGCATCTTTTGCTTTTTTTTCCATTTTCTAATATCTATGTTTGCCATTTGATATGCTTTATCAAAATGGTAATAAACTGTTTACCCTGCACAAACTCCATATCACCTCTCTAATTTGTCCATAATTAAGTGCAATAATAATAACATTAAGTAACAGTTTGCTATTTGTGTAATTTTTCTTTTCAAATCAAATTTTAATACAATTTTAATATAATACAACCTATGCTACCTGTAATGGCGGGTAGGAATAGGATCCTAAGCACGGAAATGGTATCCTCAATGGTGCCAGCACTCTTCCAGTCAGGGTCAATGGATGGTACATTTGACATTCATTTATTGATTAAGTAGTAGTAGTAGTAGTAGTAGTAGTAGTAGTAGTAGTAGTAGTAGTAGTAGTAGTAGTAGTAGTAGTAGTAGTAGTAGTAGTAGTAGTAGTAGTAGTAGTAGTAGTAGTAGTAGTAGTAGTAGTAGTAGTAGTAGTAGTAGTAGTAGTAGTAGTAGTAGTAGTAGTAGTAGTAGTAGTAGTAGTAGTAGTAGTAGTAGTAGTAGTAGTAGTAGTAGTAGTAGTAGTAGTAGTAGTAGTAGTAGTAGTAGTAGTAGTAGTAGTAGTAGTAGTAGTAGTAGTAGTAGTAGTAGTAGTAGTAGTAGTAGTAGTAGTAGTAGTAGTAGTAGTAGTAGTAGTAGTAGTAGTAGTAGTAGTAGTAGTAGTAGTAGTAGTAGTAGTAGTAGTAGTAGTAGTAGTAGTAGTAGTAGTAGTAGTAGTAGTAGTAGTAGTAGTAGTAGTAGTAGTAGTAGTAGTAGTAGTAGTAGTAGTAGTAGTAGTAGTAGTAGTAGTAGTAGTAGTAGTAGTAGTAGTAGTAGTAGTAGTAGTAGTAGTAGTAGTAGTAGTAGTAGTAGTAGTAGTAGTAGTAGTAGTAGTAGTAGTAGTAGTAGTAGTAGTAGTAGTAGTAGTAGTAGTAGTAGTAGTAGTAGTAGTAGTAGTAGTAGTAGTAGTAGTAGTAGTAGTAGTAGTAGTAGTAGTAGTAGTAGTAGTAGTAGTAGTAGTAGTAGTAGTAGTAGTAGTAGTAGTAGTAGTAGTAGTAGTAGTAGTAGTAGTAGTAGTAGTAGTAGTAGTAGTAGTAGTAGTAGTAGTAGTAGTAGTAGTAGTAGTAGTAGTAGTAGTAGTAGTAGTAGTAGTAGTAGTAGTAGTAGTAGTAGTAGTAGTAGTAGTAGTAGTAGTAGTAGTAGTAGTAGTAGTAGTAGTAGTAGTAGTAGTAGTAGTAGTAGTAGTAGTAGTAGTAGTAGTAGTAGTAGTAGTAGTAGTAGTAGTAGTAGTAGTAGTAGTAGTAGTAGTAGTAGTAGTAGTAGTAGTAGTAGTAGTAGTAGTAGTAGTAGTAGTAGTAGTAGTAGTAGTAGTAGTAGTAGTAGTAGTAGTAGTAGTAGTAGTAGTAGTAGTAGTAGTAGTAGTAGTAGTAGTAGTAGTAGTAGTAGTAGTAGTAGTAGTAGTAGTAGTAGTAGTAGTAGTAGTAGTAGTAGTAGTAGTAGTAGTAGTAGTAGTAGTAGTAGTAGTAGTAGTAGTAGTAGTAGTAGTAGTAGTAGTAGTAGTAGTAGTAGTAGTAGTAGTAGTAGTAGTAGTAGTAGTAGTAGTAGTAGTAGTAGTAGTAGTAGTAGTAGTAGTAGTAGTAGTAGTAGTAGTAGTAGTAGTAGTAGTAGTAGTAGTAGTAGTAGTAGTAGTAGTAGTAGTAGTAGTAGTAGTAGTAGTAGTAGTAGTAGTAGTAGTAGTAGTAGTAGTAGTAGTAGTAGTAGTAGTAGTAGTAGTAGTAGTAGTAGTAGTAGTAGTAGTAGTAGTAGTAGTAGTAGTAGTAGTAGTAGTAGTAGTAGTAGTAGTAGTAGTAGTAGTAGTAGTAGTAGTAGTAGTAGTAGTAGTAGTAGTAGTAGTAGTAGTAGTAGTAGTAGTAGTAGTAGTAGTAGTAGTAGTAGTAGTAGTAGTAGTAGTAGTAGTAGTAGTAGTAGTAGTAGTAGTAGTAGTAGTAGTAGTAGTAGTAGTAGTAGTAGTAGTAGTAGTAGTAGTAGTAGTAGTAGTAGTAGTAGTAGTAGTAGTAGTAGTAGTAGTAGTAGTAGTAGTAGTAGTAGTAGTAGTAGTAGTAGTAGTAGTAGTAGTAGTAGTAGTAGTAGTAGTAGTAGTAGTAGTAGTAGTAGTAGTAGTAGTAGTAGTAGTAGTAGTAGTAGTAGTAGTAGTAGTAGTAGTAGTAGTAGTAGTAGTAGTAGTAGTAGTAGTAGTAGTAGTAGTAGTAGTAGTAGTAGTAGTAGTAGTAGTAGTAGTAGTAGTAGTAGTAGTAGTAGTAGTAGTAGTAGTAGTAGTAGTAGTAGTAGTAGTAGTAGTAGTAGTAGTAGTAGTAGTAGTAGTAGTAGTAGTAGTAGTAGTAGTAGTAGTAGTAGTAGTAGTAGTAGTAGTAGTAGTAGTAGTAGTAGTAGTAGTAGTAGTAGTAGTAGTAGTAGTAGTAGTAGTAGTAGTAGTAGTAGTAGTAGTAGTAGTAGTAGTAGTAGTAGTAGTAGTAGTAGTAGTAGTAGTAGTAGTAGTAGTAGTAGTAGTAGTAGTAGTAGTAGTAGTAGTAGTAGTAGTAGTAGTAGTAGTAGTAGTAGTAGTAGTAGTAGTAGTAGTAGTAGTAGTAGTAGTAGTAGTAGTAGTAGTAGTAGTAGTAGTAGTAGTAGTAGTAGTAGTAGTAGTAGTAGTAGTAGTAGTAGTAGTAGTAGTAGTAGTAGTAGTAGTAGTAGTAGTAGTAGTAGTAGTAGTAGTAGTAGTAGTAGTAGTAGTAGTAGTAGTAGTAGTAGTAGTAGTAGTAGTAGTAGTAGTAGTAGTAGTAGTAGTAGTAGTAGTAGTAGTAGTAGTAGTAGTAGTAGTAGTAGTAGTAGTAGTAGTAGTAGTAGTAGTAGTAGTAGTAGTAGTAGTAGTAGTAGTAGTAGTAGTAGTAGTAGTAGTAGTAGTAGTAGTAGTAGTAGTAGTAGTAGTAGTAGTAGTAGTAGTAGTAGTAGTAGTAGTAGTAGTAGTAGTAGTAGTAGTAGTAGTAGTAGTAGTAGTAGTAGTAGTAGTAGTAGTAGTAGTAGTAGTAGTAGTAGTAGTAGTAGTAGTAGTAGTAGTAGTAGTATAAAAGAGAGAGTTAAGAGTTCCTTATCAAGAACACCATAAAATGTAATGTATGCATCATCAAACTGTGACATGAATGACCTATTACCAGGAGCTGCATCCAAGTTGCCCGTGGTATGAATAATAACAAGTCAGCCATGGCATGAATCCCATGTCATCCGGAGGCTATGAGTTCAAAGTAAGCTTAAAGCCTCTTTTTAGCCCCACTATGTTTAAAATAAAAATAAAACTTCATGCTGCAGTCACAAGCATGAGCCAGGTAATTATATGTTTCCCATTATGTTGATTTTTCCAACATGCACCTTGATGTGTTGTTCAGTATGGCACTTGGGGCTCCCATCATGATTGGATAAACATTAACCTACCATCACCAGAAAAATTTTGTGCTCACTATAATTTTGTTTTTTGATGTCACTGCACATAGATGGTTCAGCAAGTGTTTAGCCACAAGATCTTGTGACCTCACCTGATTTCAACTTTCCTTGAGTTTGTGGGAAAATATTTTTTCTACTAATGCTATCAAAATCAATGATGTTATCTACTATGGACATTATTATTATTATAGTGTTATTAACATTACTAACAACTATACAAAATACCAGAACTTATTTTTGAAAATCAAGGAAAATGGTCAACAGGTAGGTCAGTTAGTACTAGTAAACAGCTCATTGATGATTTAGTACTTGTGGAGCCATCTATGTATGTTAATATATATGCATATCAATAAATAAAACATCAATAATCATCATAATACTAATAATAATAT